TGGGATTATATATATATATATATATATATATATATATATATATATATATATTGTTATTGTATTCCTCATATAACATAGCAGAGGTTCCAAACCCTACCAAAACCCTCATTTCTTCTACATTTCCCTTCCCACATGGAAATGGCAATTTAAATTTTACACGTTGATATCATTCAATTCCTGAAAATTTAGGTGATAATCCCTGTTAATGAAAAGCAAGTAAAGCAAAAAACAGAGAGTTTCAAATCCATAAAGATTTAAATGCAATTTGCTCAGTCCAGAAATATAAAGAAGTAGAACCTTTTAGAGAATAAGATTCAAAATATTTCTGCGTCGATTTTTTATTAAATATGAGTATTTTATTTTTCTATATTTCTCATGTTCATTTAACTAATCCGATCCATTATCAATTTGATAAAGAAAATAAGACATTTCAATTCTGATCTCTAAAGTTTTCTCAGGCTCGATCTAATGGTGATAAAAAAAAATAAACTTTGGACCTAACTCATAGCATGAGGATTGTACAAGACCAAGGACCTTAATTGCCCACATCAATTTGGGACTTTAACAGACAGAAATAAAAATAGACATACATATATAAATCCACATGCTGGTGGATTTTATCATAGATCATAAAAGAGGAGGTATTCATCAAAAGTGAGTTCCCATATCCACTCCATCAGCTCGAAGTCAAAATCAGCTCCAGTGGTGAATGATATGATCTCTTCTGGTGGAGGAATTTCCATCCATTTTTCTAATTCCATTAATGATGTAAAAGTTGATGACAGCGCAGCGCGCCTACAGGATAAACATAAGGAGTAATTTCCATTAACTTCTCTTCATCTTCAAGAAAAACGCCTGAAAACATAAAATTAAAATCCATACCAGCATTTTCGTAACTAGAATCTCCTAGTTCCCCCATATCGACTATCAATCCGAGTTCCTCATAATCCTTGATCTCCAATGGTGGAATTTCCTCTTTCGAATTTCCATCTGAAGTACTTTTCTTCAACTTGCTCTTCATTTCCTTCTCAACATTTTCTATCTCTACTTTCACCACCTTAACATTTTTAATCTCTACTCTCACCTCCTCAACACCGCCCTCGTTAATAACAGACCCCATAACAATAGAGAGAAGAAGAAAAAAAAAGGAGAAAACAAAGCAAAGGAAGAAAAAGAGAAGATTGTTTTGTGCTTCAATTGAGTGGTTAAGTGAGTATAAATAGTGAGGGAAGCAACATAGTATTTTTTGATTATATGCCTGCATGTATGACTCAGCACAAAATAACACACTATTAGCAAGGTGGTTTTTTTCCCACTGTATTAAAAACGTGATTACATGTAACCGTTGGAACAACCAACCCTACAAGAAAAAGGTGAATTATCTAGGGAATTTCATGGGGATTAGTATGAAAATTTGCAGGAAAATAAGTTTCCTGCGGATTTTCATACTAATTCCTAGAAAAATTCCATATAATTCACACTTTTCCTGTAGTGCAAGTATTATGCATTATATATTATGAAGTGTTGTCTTACTACTACTATTAAACAGTAAGCTAGTTTAGATAATTAAGAATGGAATAAGGCATAGTTTAATAGTGTTTGATTGAAATATCCTGACAAATTTATGAGAGTGATTATATATGTTGCTTTATTTTATATTTTTATAATATTAATGTATATAAATTAAATTCTAAAAATATTGTATAGTTTAATTGTTAGACGAAGATAAAGATTTTTTTGTTTTTTTTGAAACAGGTCATTAAATTTGCCCGAAGGAAAACCAACACATGGTAATTGGTATTGAATCATGTAACGCCAAGATGAGAAAATGCAATCAAAAAATACCAACCACTTATTTGGCACCTGGATGAACTTAACAATGTGGAAGTTTTTTTTTTGTTGTTATTTACTAATTTTAAAGTTAAAGATTCTGCAAACACTATATATGGGTTATGAAGACCAAGAGGCAACAAAAAGAGAGCTAATAAATGCAATTTTTAAATAGCTACATAATTATTTTTGACACGATTGTTGCATAAATTAATTAAACATTGTTTTTAAACTAGTTACATAAATTTTTTACACAATTGTTGCACAAACGCTAATTAAACACCCCTAATTTCATTAATCTTTCTTATTCATGATTTACTTTTTTTTGTTGCCTCTCTTTCTTCATAAGCCGTATAGAGTTGCAATCTACTCAACAAGGTTTGGGACAAAAAACTTGAGACGTAGGATTAATGCACAATTCATTATTACAAATTAAGTTACTTATTTATTTTAATTTAAGTTGTACATCATAACATAGACGGAAAAAAAAATTGAAAGACGATGATAAAAAGAAATCTACTTTGAACCTAATTTATGACATGAGGATTGCCCAAGACTAAGGATCTTAATTGCCCACATCGATGTGGGACTCTAACAGACAGAAATAAAAATAGACATACATAAATCTACAAGCTAAGAGATTTTATCCTTGATGATAGAAGCGGAGGTACTCATCAAGGTTCCCAGATCCACTAGTACTCCATCAGTTCGAAGTCCCAGCTAGCTCGATTAGTGAATGATGATCCCTCCCCTCCTAATCTGATCTCTTCTGGAGGAGGAATTTCCATCCATTTTTCTAATTCAATTAATGATGAAACAGTTGAAGACATCACTCCTGCATGATCCTCATAAGTAGTTTCCATTAACTTTTCTTCATCTTCAGGAAAAAAGTTAGAAAACATAGAATTAAAATCCATACCAACATTTTCGTAACTAGAATCCCCTAGTTCCTCCAAATCGATTATCAATCCGAGTTCCTCATAATCCTTGATATCAAATGACGGAATTTCCTCTTTCGAGTTTCCATCTGAAGTACTTTTCTCCAACTTTTTCTTCATTTCCTCAACGTTTTCTATCTCTACTCTAACCTCCTCAACACCGCCCTCGTTAATAACAGACCCCATAACAATAGAGAGAAGAAAGAAAAAAAAACGGAGAAAGCAAAGCAAAGGAAGAAAAAAAAGAAGATTGGTGCTTCAATTGATATGAGTGGTGGAGTGTATATATATTGAAGGAAGCAGCGTTGGTGTTTTGGATTATATGCACAGCAAGGTGGTTTTCTCTCCCACTTTATTAAAAATGTCACTATATCTAACCGTTACAATAATGAATTATTATGCATTAAATTTAATGAAGTGTTGGAATAAGGCCTAGTTTAATAGTGTCAAAATGAAATATCCTGACAAATTTGTGAGACTAATAATGTATGTTGTCTTATTTTATATTTATAGTATCAGTGTATATAAGTTAAATTCTAAATATATTGGATAGTTTAATTGTTAGACGAAAAAAAAGAGTTCAATTATTTTCAAACAGCTTATTTAATTTGCCTGAATGGAAACCAGCACATGGTAATTATTGGTATTGAATCTTGTAACGTCAAGATGAAAAAAGGCAAATAAAAAAAACAAACAATTTTATTTATTTTTTGCATCTGGATGAACTTTACATTGTGAAAGTTTATTTGTTTTTTATTATTTTTGGTGTTTTGCTAATTTAAATGATAAACACTCCGCATGCACTATATGTGTCCTCAATGAAGGCTCTAGAATACTAAAAATGTGTGCCCAATTTTGTTTTATACTTAATACACAAGTTAAGACATAATTACAATTCGTTTATATTTGAAGATGAAATTATAAGTAGCTCAGTTTGATGATTCTCTATTGGCATGGTGTCAATCTTTTTTATTCTTCTCCTATGAAACAATACAAGGAGACAAATTGATAGTGTGAGTGTGTGACAATGACAATGCTATTGTAGAGTTCAATTTTTTTTTTCAAACGGGTCTTTAAATTTGCCTGAAGGGAAACTGACAACCATGGTAATTGGTATTGAATCTTGTAAAGCCAAGATGAAAAAAAGCAAACAAAAAATACCAATCACTTTTTTGGCACCTGAATGAACGTTACAAATGTGTAAGATTGTTTTGTTTTTTTTTTTGGTTTTTTGGTGTTTTACTAATTTAAAGGGAAAAAGATTTTACATGCATTATACATGTGTCTTGAATGAAGGTTCTAGAATATTAGTGTGTGTCAGTTTTGTTTTATACTTGCATAAAAGTTGAGAGATAATTACAATTTATTTGTATTTAGGAAGAAGTTGCAAGTAGTTCAATTTGGTGGTTCTCTATTAGCATTGCGTGAGTTTTCTTATTTTTCTCCTATTGAAATGAAACAGTACACGGATAATTTTTTATAATATAATAGTGATTGTTTAAACAATAATTAGAAGAGTTGTTTTTACAATGAAACTAAATTTAAGGGAAGTTTATGAAAGCAATTTTATTTAAGGAATGCTGATCAACTCTTTTGGAAATAGTTGAATCCGGGAATAAGCATTAAGAACCCTATTTTTTCGTGGTCACTTAGCTTTCAATTTTCAAAGAATCAAGTTACGTCTCCCTTCTTTCATTAATTTGGAGAAAAGGAACCTAAATCACGAAAAATAATATTGCTAATTGAGCAAATTAATGAAATTTAGCCAACATATTTAGTGCTGTTTTTATTGATTTAGAGAAAAGAAACCTAAATCACGAAGAGAAACTTATCTAATAATCGGCAAATTAATGAAACTAACTAAGACATTTGGTGCTGCAAAGACGATAATATATTACTATGTAAAAATCTCCGTAGAAATGGATACAAAAACCCTAAGCAGATGGATGGAGAAGAATCCATTTTGTACCATCTTACATATTTTCAAATTGTCAAAAATTGTGAAAACCCATTCCGGTGCATTTATAGAAGACAATAAACAAAACTGATCAACCATCAACCCAACTCCTTAAAGAAAAAAAAATTTATTTAAGATGCATAAAAAATACATAGGAAAATTCAAAATCTTCTCTTTATTGCTAATTAATGTCTAAATATTTTGTCTTCTTTTTTTCTTTTTTCTAGTAAAATAATTTCCCTTATTGGACATGTTTTTATAGTCAAATGATCATTCAGCAGATAAAGTTCTTGTTATTTACCGTTCATTAAGGAAAATTCAAGCCATAACCAACCATAATTTGCTTTAATTGTTGATGATGATAAATAGGTTAATTGTTTTTCAGAATGTACCGTTCAGCTATAACATCCTCATAGAAACATAAATAATTAAAAAGAAATTTACACCATCAGTGCAATTCATTACAATTTACACCGTTATTGGATATAAGTTAAATCTTTTTGAATTTTCATTATGTAACAAAAGCGTTCATTTGAAGCAGTGGTATGAAAAAAAACACCGGTAGGATCAGTGTAGAAAAGACAGACAAGGTAAGTGGGACAGTTGGTAAGGAAACAGGTGATCTATCACCACAAGTTGGTTATGCACTGGAAAAGCATTTCGCTACCACCTATAGAGGCGTATCTAGAATTTTGAGATAATGGATGCATTATTACAAAAAGTTGATCTAAGATATAAATTTGATCGGTTAAATATTTGGGTTTTTACTAATGAAAACCGTTAAAATTTTAATATTATAAGTCCAATTATATATACCAAAAGTGCTAACAATTACCACTAAGAGAAGTGTTATCTAATTTTAGAAAGAAAAATAAAACAAGATAACTATAAAATTCAAATTTCTAACCTCACGTAGAGAGGTGCACCAAGTATTATCGCTTTATGTAATATTTCGAGTGTGAATTCACACACATCTATATTTCAATATTTTTTTAAAATATAACACTATCATATAGGATCTCAAAATGGAAGTATGGGTTCCCGTGACCCCTTCATACGCCTTTGGCTACATGACACATAGGAAACAAGAAAGTAAATGGGCCAAAAACTATAGCATACAGTGGCGGACCTAGAATTTTGTTCAAGTGGGTTCAAGTTACAAATAATCATGGCAACGATCAATAATAATAATTATCAATTTTTTTAAATTATATCCTTAACAAGTTATTTTGAGATGATATTCCTAACAAAAAATACTCTATTAAATTTTTATCTACTTACAAGAAAATTTTCCACATATTTTCAATTTAACAAGCTACTTATTACTCATATATATAAGACAAACTATAACAATTTTGAAAACCATAAATAAATAAAAATTAGTAAAATAATAAATAAATAAAAATGCACTATCCTAACTTTCGTGTATACCAAGTAAAAAGGAAAATAAATACATAATTTTGTATACTTCAAAAAATAAAACTAAGTACTACTCATCCGTTTCATAATAATTGTTTATTTTACTAAAATTAGTTGTCCACCTTACTAAATCAAGAAAGCATTAATCAAAATTTTCATATATTATCCTTGTAATTAATTCTTTTTGAAAGTGTTCACATTTATTTGTAAAATTCGCAATAAGTTTTTAAGGGGTGGATTAGTAAAATTATTTTCTTCTTAATGATTTCTTAATATGCATGTAAAAAAGAAAATGATAAAATAATATGGATCGGAGA